CCAGTCGACTTCGCATTCGCCGCTGCCGCTTCCGTATCTGTGTGGGGATGGCACTTCCCCTAGTTCTCCGTCCGACTGCGCCGGTGCAGCGGGTTGCTGGAGGGGGGCGTAGTCAGGGGGCGGACCAGATGAAGCCGCCAGTGGCTTGCTGCGCCAGACCGCTGCATGGGGATCCTTCATCCTCCTCGCTGCTGGTCCTCCCAACATTACGCTGGCCAGCAAAGAGCTCTGTTGTTCCTACTGAGAGATCGTCCTTCACTCAAGATAGGAAGTGGGTTGGCGTCTCCAACAGCTGGCGCTGGGGGCGCTGTCCTTTCTGGTTGTCGAGTTTGTCGGCAAAGGACCGCCATGCCTCCTGGTACTTCTGGTTCCTCTCCACCAGGTGCGTGATGACATTGGCCGCTGCGGCCCTCTGCCCGTCCCAGGGGATGAGCGGGGGGCGACCATTCCTGGGGATCTCGCCCCTGTAAATGAAGTCCAGGAAGCGCACCAGGTGCTCGAGAGACCATCCCGACTCGTCGGTCACATCACCCACTACTTCCCTGCCCCAGCGCTGCGTGTGGGCCGCCCAGAGGGTGTAGACCATGTGGTTCCACTCAATCAGAAACTTGACCAGCTCGCGGACGGGGCCGCTCGACTGCCCCCAAGCAAGACGGCGGGTGGAGTACGTGGGTAGTTGGGGTGCCTTAGGTGGTGGGAGAGCTGGTAGAGTGTACCTGTGGGTGCATCCGCCGTCAGGGTCTCCCTGCGGACGCGAGGCGCGCCCTGGTTGGCTGTCGGGTGCTGTCGTTGGCGGGTTGGAGCCGGTGGCTGGCGCTGGGCTGATTAGGGAGAGATGAGTTGACATGTCGTAGATGCCCCATTCCTCCGAAATTTCGCTCATGGCAGGCCTCTTGGTGGGGGGGGGCAGGGCATGCCGCGTTCGAGCATAGATCAAGCACACGGTCGAGGACACTGGGGGCAATGTCCCAGATATGCACCAGGAACCTCCTGCAAGCCCGGCTGGCGTTCCACTGCCCCCTGATCCATAACGATAGCATTGCGTCCCACGCTGGGAGACCTGTCCGATCACTGCAGTCCGCATCCGCCTCTGCGCGCCATACGAAACACGCCAAGGCGGGCGCGCCCGGCGACCGCTCTAGCAGGGGGGGGAGCTGGGGGGACAGAAGTCGCACGTGGCCGAGTAGCAATTGGTGAGGTGCACTTCGGTGCCGAACCTGCCGTCTGTGAGCCTGTGTGGTGGTAGCGTGGTGCCTGCGCTGGCTGTGCGGAAATGGCGCGGCGCACGAAGGGTGAGTCCCTTGAGGGAAGTCAGGGCTGCCTTGCCCGATGGCGCCCCGTACCCCAGCGGCAGCCTGGATAGAGGGAAGGGTATTGGCCCTTATCTGCGCGCGATTCTCGCCCAGCCTGCGTTTGTGCTCTTGTAGTAGCCACTGCGTGGACTTCTTGCCGCTGCGCTCCGAGGGGTCGGGTTCGGGGAGGGGAATCCCTTTCTCTTCCAGCGAGATGGCCCAGCAGTGCTCGCATAACCATCTGCAGTCCTTTCCCTCCGCGCACGCCTGCGCACGGTTCTGGGCGAGTCGTTCCCGGGTGTAGTCGTCTTCCCAGGTGCCTGCTTTACCGTGCAGCCCGACGTTGAAGCGCCCGTCGCAGTTGTAGGTGGCGCCCTTCTGCCGCCCGCTGAAGCGCTCATCGCGCGCGACAGGGGGGAACAATGATGTGCCTGGGGCTGGGGGGGCAGGGATGTCTTCGTCGAGTCGGTGGTTGGAGATTACCTCCCCGCCCACAATGTACCGGAGGTCGTCCATTGTCTGCGGGCAGCCCAGCCCCACCTCTGATCCCGCCAGGGCAGTGTGCAGCAGGCAGATGGAACGCTCTCCAACGTTCAGCAGTGTGACGTCGGCGGGCCGAACTATGGTCTCCAGCGCGCGTAGGGGGGCCTCCAGGGTGGAGTCGTGTGTCTGCATCCTTGCCCACGTCTTCGGGCAACCGTGCTTGTCTGCCACCTCGTGGTGATGGGCATATGTGGCCAAGGTGCTAGTGTGGTGTATGACTTCGGCGAGCTTGGTGCGGAGAGTGGCAAGGTCTGCCAGCTGGCAGACCCACGTCTCTGCAAACTGGCTGCGGAACTCTTTGTGGGCCTCCTGCCACGGGAGGCACAGGCCCATCATGGCCTCGAGGATATCGCCTGTGGCCTCTGGGTTCGAGAAGGGCCCCAGCGCGGCGCGGGGCCCACGTAGCTGCAGCATCCCTACTACCAGCAGCGCTCTGAGTGCGTGGGGGTCGAGGGGCAGCCCGTCGACTCCTACTAGGGATTGCGTGAAGTCAGCGTCGATCGTGTCGGGATGCAGGTTCTCCATTCCTGGGTGTACCCTGTGTCGTCGGCACCGGCAGGTGGAACTGCCCCAGGCTGCTGGAAACTGAGGGAGCATGCCCCGGGGGGCACGGCGGCTAAAGCCTGGGGCGGCGGTTGGCCCCCCATCATGTGGGGCAGCGGTGG